GCTCTTTCATAATCTGAAAACCGCCGCTCTCTAGCTTATTCCGTTCTCGAGTTATTCAAAAAATATTCGAGTCCACTGAATTTTTGGACAGACAATAGTATTAGTGTTCATAAGTTCAGATTTATAGTTCATTAGTGGCAAATAGACAGACACATTGACAATGATTCATCATCAACTGACTTTAAAAACTCTGAATATGTGTATAGATGAACGATATCATCACTATCATTAATCACTTAAAGGTAACTAGACAATATAGAGTAATATGGTATCATAATACAAAAAAAGCAAGCCTTTTGTTTCTTTAGAAGCAATTTCTGGATGAGATGTTAGCTACCCCGTACTCCAGCAAAGCTAAGACAGAAAAAAATATGGTTGGGTGTGAAGATAACTCGGCATCCTCTATCCAACCATGTAATTAAAATTTAGTTTGGGGGTGGGTGTGGGTGGGAGCGTGGTGTACAAATACCCATCATTGTCGTCAGGTCTGGAAATGTCGACTGGATGCAAAGGATGTGGTATTTGATAAATAAACACCTGCTTTTACCCATACTTTTTTCTTTTCTGTCGTTTGAGCTTTAGTGAAAGATGAGAGCTTCTCATTGAAGCCGGTTGTATTACTTAAAAACAACTTTTAACCATATTTTTCTTATGACTATAAGCTATGAATACTTCTTTATAAGTGGTAAAAAGCTACTCTATTTCCTCAAAAGGTGCTTACTGCATTCTGACTTGAGAAAGATCTTATCGACATATCATGTGTTGGTTAACATATATTCATATTTTTTTACTTTCTCTTTGCTGATACCTAAATAAACATATTGGGAGAACAGCGAAAATACTCACAGTCCTGTCTCAACCATTTTCAACGCAATTGTGCGGCCATGGCGTTCAAAAACGAAATGCACTTTGCACCGTGCAGACTGTTGGTTTGAAAGTTTTCTACCATAAAAATGTAACACTCGACTGCGTTTAATTCGTTCAGTTCGTAAATGCACACTGTTGAGGGTATTTTACGAACGGAGACCATTTTACGAATTTCGTAGATGCGCCTTGCTAGGTCCAAGCTTTATACTACTCACTAATTTTCTTGTTCGAAGGATTCGCAAATACGAAGTGTATAATAGAATTAGACAATTCGTAAATGCACCGTGCTAAGCGTGAACGAATCGCAGGAATTTCAAAATGATGTTCTGAAAATTGTGTTTTATGAATACGAAAATACAACTGGTTGAGGAGTCAGCTAATTCGCAAATGCACTTCGCTGTGGACGAAAAACTTTTTCCTCTAGGTCAAAAAAACCTGCAGATTGCGTGCACTTTGCACATTGCATTTAATTCGTATATGCAAACGGCGAATTCGTTTTTATCTCTGACATGAGCAGTAGTGAAGCTGATTTCGTTTTCTGCTATTTATCATTCGTACTCGTCTACGAATTGGCACAATTTAATACGAATTAACTGCAATGTGCAAGTAATTTGTAGATTTTCAGAGCCGTAGGGAAATCTTTTCTGAGATATTTATCACGGCTATTCTCCTCCGAATTCTCTACGAATTAATTGCGATGTACAGGATGGTAGGAATTTGCAGATTTGAACACTTGGATGGAAAAATATTTTTATTTTTATTTACGTTTAGATCTGGACGCTTGCAAAATTCGTTTTCGACAGTCACGGATTCGAAAATGCACATTGTTACATAGCTTCGAATTGACAATTAAATTTTTGTTTAGTTGTTGAAGAATTTGCATAGTTTGACGAATTCAATCTTGCATGTTGCTGTTGTAATTTTGACACTAACAATGTGCAAAACGGCACATTGCCATCATTGTTGAATTGACGCTTAAAAAAGCTAGGCAATTTTGCCGAATGCGTCTCTGCACATTAGTGAGCATGTTTTCAACAATGTACAACTGGCGATTCTTTCGAAAATGCAAACTGTTGAAACATAAAAAAATGTTCAACAGTTTCCGAATGCAATTCGCTTCTCGATACACTTCGTAGATTTGGTATATTTACACAGTGCTCGAAGTACCGGTTAATTGCACCAAAGTACAATTCGCACGGGAAAGCGCCATTTGCGAATTCGTGTTTGAACGCCTTGGCCGCACCACTCTTTCAACGCGTGTAATATATCGCACGAGTTAAAAGAGAAAAGCTGAAGACCTCGTTGAATGACAAACATGATAAGGTATGTACACCACACTGTATAGATAGGTGACCGGCAAACTTCAGAACTAAGCAAAGTACTCGAAGTACTCTTACTCGTACTTGAGTACGTTTTTGTACTACTCATACTCGCGCTCCCATTCGCATTCGTACTCGCACTCTCCCTTGAACAAGTCCATACTTGCCCAGCTTTGTGACAAACACAAAGGTAGAAGTGAGAGAGTATTTTCGCAGTATCCTATCCTTATTTATACCAGTATCACCCAAGAGTATACAAAAAGAATACGAGTAAAAAAAATCATATAAATTTATATAGAAGGATGGTAACCCCGCGCAAGATCATGATAGAAGCTCTGGCAGTGGTACTGTTGATATCACTGATTATTCCAGTCACCAAAGCGGCCAACATTTCACCGATGGCTCAAACACAACAAGGTGTTTATATTGGCAGTCAAATAACAATAAATGGTACGAATGTGAATTACTGGTATGGCATACCTTATGCTCAACAACCTATCGGTAACCTTAGGTGGATGCCTCCTCGAGCTCTTGGCATATCCAATAGTACCAGAGAAGCATACATTCCCAATTCTTGTCTTCAGGAGTATGACTTTGGCTTTCTACTCACCGAAGCTTGTCTCACCTTAAACGTATACACTCCGGAAAATGCAAATAATTTGCCTGTATATGTTTGGATTCATGGAGGCGCTTTTTCTGCCGGCGCTGCTATTCAGTATGATGCTACTACATTCGTTAGCACAAGCATTATCAATTCTGTTCCTATAGTCATCGTCACGATCAATTATCGACTTGGCCTGTTCGGTTTTCTAGCAGATGAAGCATCGTATGGCGAAAGATCAGGTATCAACAACAGAAGCACCACTGGTAACTATGGCATATTAGATCAAATGATGGCGTTAGACTGGATAAAGAAGAATATTGCTGGTTTCGGTGGTAATCCTGAGCAAATT